GGTCTAGGCCCGAAACGTCAGCTTTCCTGCTCCTGATGCTGCTTGGCCTGCTGTGTTCATCCAGCTCTACACCTTATCTCAGATTCTCCAGCATCTGCAGTTCCTACTATCTCTGAAACAGTTTCTTAGTTACTTTTACTCTATTGTAATACTGTTACAATAGATTCCAGCTTCTCACTCTCAAATTGCAGGACGAATTCTATCATACCATGGTCATTGTGCCCCTGGTGGTTCCTTTATCTAAAGCTCCCTAATCAAGTCTGCCTCATTAATCAAGTCCAGAATTTCCCGTTTCCTGATGAAAACCACAAACTGCTCCAAAAAAAAAACCCACCTTGTAGACATTCCACAAATACCTTTTCCCGAGATCCGCTACAAATCTAATTTTCACAATCCACCTGCCTATTGAAGTCTCCCATGATTATTGTAATAGTGTCTTTCTTACATGCCTTTTCCATCTCCCAATTTATTTTCTTTCCCCCCACATCCTGAATACTGCGGTTCCTCAACTCTACCCACACAGATTGTTATGTCTTCTGATCATACATCACTTCTTGCTATCAATTTATTCATTTCTTACTGAGCAACCCTGCTCCCCTCTGCCTATCGGCTTGTCCTTTCAAAAGGATACGTATCCATAGATATTTAGTTCCCAGCCCTGATCTCCTTGCAGCCATGTCTTTCTGATGCCCTTAACATCATACCCACCAATTTCAATCTGCACTACAAGCATATACTGCATGCATTTAAGTATAAACCTTCAGTCCTGCGTTGACTGTCCTCTTTCCCAGTTATTTTCTATGCCTTAAGTTGGATTCCTGACACTTTTCATCCTCTCTGTCCTATTACTTGTTCTGGAAATTTTAGTAGCCTCTCCTGAGGAACCCCACTGCCCCCCCACGCCCCCCCCAATCCCCTACACCCTCCCTTAAAGTCCTTGTGACCACCCTATTTAGCTTTTCCACTGGGATGCCGGTCCCATATCAATTCAGGTGGAGCTCATCCCAATATCGACGCCAATGTCTCCCAAAATGGAACGTCTATTTCCCACACCACTCCTTTAGCCAAGTGTTTACTTTCCTAATTTTCTTATCGCTACGTCAATTTGCTTGTGGCTTGGATAATAATCCAGAAGTTATAACCGTCGAGACCCTGTTCTTCAATTTTGTTCCTAATGGCCACTAAATCATCTTTGGATGGGACAATGGGGTGATGTTAAGAAACATGCAGTTATAATCTTCTGAAGAGATGAGTGTCATTAAGTCAGGCACTTGTAGTATCTAATTCCATTTGAAATATTTTAGAAGGAAAGATATAAGAGGGTAAAGCCATGCCAAAAACGATTCAGAGTCAGTCACTACATTAGAACAAGCATGGAGGCAATGACCTTTTGGAATGTTATCATTTTTACAGTAAATAAATGGTTCAATAATGGCATGTTTTTACAAAGAAAATGCAAAACTGCAGAGAAAATATTTAATGGAGAAGAATTATTTCAACTTACAGGCCACCGTAGATAAATATGGCATTTAGATATAAACAAAAATCCAACAGATGGACAGTATGGGATCTATAACAGGGATCTATAGGTATAACAAAAATAAAGGAAATTAAAGAAAGACATTAATTGAAACAAAAAGAAAACTAGGAAGTATGACAGAACATAGTAAGAACAAATACTACACAGATATCTAAAAACAGAAGTGCTCATCATGACTATGTAGCGATATCAGAAGAGCAAAAACAGGGTATGAGATGGATCTGGCAGATAAGGTTAAAGATAATCCCAAGTGGTTTTATAGTTATATTAAGAGTAAAAGGGTGGCTAGGGAGAGAATAGGTCTGCTTAAAAACATCATGGCCATTTATGTGTGGAGCCACAGGTAATGTGGCAGATTTTTAATGAATATTTCGCCTCAGTGTTTATGGAGGAGAGAATCACGGATGATAAGGAAATAAGGGAAACAAGTGGGGATGTCTTGAACTGCATTCATATTACCAAAGAGGAGGTGTTTGCAGCCTTAGATCGCATTAAGGTGGATAAATCTCCTGGGTGTGATTAAGTTCATCCTCGGATGTTGTGGGAGGCTAGGGAAGAAGAGAGACCCTCGCAGAGATTTTTGCTTCATGTTTAGCTACTGGTGAAGTTCCAGAAGACTAGAGTGTGGCTAATGTTGTTCCATTGTTTAAGAAAGGTAGCAGGGAGCTACAGGCCAGGGAGCCTGACATCAGTAGTAGGCAAATTATTGGAGAGGATATGGAGGGCCAGGATGAACCAACATTTGGATAGTCAAGGTCTGATTAGGGATAGTCAGCGTGGATGTGCACATGGGAAGTCGTGTCTGACAAATCTTTTGGAGTTTTTTTGAAGAGGTAACCAAGGGGATAGATGAGGGTGGATGTTGTCTATATGGACCTTAGCAAGGCCTTTGACAAGGTCCTGCACGGCAGCTTAGTCACGAAGGTTATGGTTGCATGGGATCCAGGGAGAGCTAGCAAACTGGATTCAAAATTAGCCCAATGGTGGGAAGCAGAGGGTGATGTTTGAAGGTTGTTTCTCGGACTGGGGGCCTGCGACTAGTGGTGTGCCACAGAGGTCGGTGCTGGGACCTTTGTTATTTGTTATTGACAGAAATGATCTGGATGTGAATGTACAAGGCATGATTACTAAGTTTGCTGATGATACAAAATTAGGAGGTATTGTTGATTTTGAAGAAGGTTATCAAAAATTACAGAGGGATCTTGATCAGATGGGGAAATGGGCTGAGGATTGGCAAATGCAATTCAATACAGATAAGTGTGAGATGCTTCACTTTGGAAAGACAGACCAAGATAGGACTTGTACAGTAAATGGTAAAAGGTCCTAAGGAGCGTTGTGGATCAGAGGGACCTAGGAGTACAGTACATCTTTCATTGAAAGCGGCATTACATGTAGATAGGGTGAAGAAGGCATTTAGCAGGCTGGCCTTCATCAGTCGGGGCACTGAGTGTAGGAGTTGGGCCATTATGTTACGATTGTACAAGTCGTTGGTGAGGCTGCATTTGGGGTATTGCGTACAGCTTTGGTCACCCTGTTATAGGAAAGACATAGTTAAACTGGAAAGTGTGCAAAGATGATTTACGAGAATGTTGCCTGCGTTATAGAGAGGTTGGCCAGAATAGGACTTTATTCCTTAGAACATAGGATAATGAGGGTGACCTTACTGAGGTGTATAAAATTATGAGGGGCATAGGTAGGATGAATGCATACTACAGTCTTTTTCCCAGGGATGGGGAATTGAAAGCTAGAAGGCATAAGTTTAAGGTGACAGGGGAAAGATTTAAGGAGGACCTGAGGGGCAACTTCTTCACGCAGAGATGGTGCATATATGGAATGGGCTGCCAGAAAAAGTGGTTGAGGCAGGTACAAAAGCAACATTAAAACATTTGGATAGGTACATGGATGGGAAGTGTTTAGAGGGATATGGACCAAGCTTAGTGGGCACCCATGGTCAGCATGGACCAGTTTGGGCCGAAAGGCCTGTTTCTATGACGTATGGCCCTATGTGCTCTATGACTGAGGCCTCCATGAGTACAAGATAATGCATTAGTTGAAAATAAACAAAAATTGGAGGAGATACTGGAGCATATTTGAAAATGTGCAAGAGCATTTTAAAATCAAGACACAGCTTGACCAGGATCCCAAATGAAAGGGGAAGGGAACTTGGGGCAGTTAAGACAGAGCAGAAGAGTTTTGGATAATTTAAAGTTTACGTGTTTTAGGTATATGGTTAAAGGAAGAAATGACCAAATTTGCAGATTATACAAAAGTAGGAGGCATGGTAAATAATTATGAGATTCAAGTGGCATAATAAATTGAGCAAAAACTTGAAGAAAATCCAATTACTGAGAAATGACATTTTTAAATGAGTCATTTTTCTCCATCAAAATGTGGAGTCAGTGGATAATTTGGGAGTTAAGGTTTACAAAACATCAAGCACAACACCTTAAAAGGATGAGGCCATAAAGGTGGTGAATGGAATACTGGGTTTCATGGAATCTGACACAGAACATAAGCTGAGATGCAGTGGTGAATCAATACAAAGCCTTAGTATGACCACATCTGGAGAACTGTGCGCTGCTTTGGGCATCAAACACTGAGGACGATATTAAGACAGAGAGAGTTCAACCCAGATACGAAGAGGATTGCCTGGCTTGTTGGAATACAAATAGAAAGTCTGGAGCTATTTTCACTGGGAGATTAGATCAAGAAATTTTTTGATAAAGATTTTCAAAACATTTTGGGTTGAATAGCTTATGTTTACATTGCATACTCTCTATGATTACTTGTAATAGGTGTTAAACAATTCATTGAGTTAAGGTATTTTTGTCCTTGGTTTCCTCCTGGTGTTTCAGTCATTCAATGCCATGCACAAGAGTTAGACAAGGAGATAATCTGTACTTAGGTGTTTGCTGCTCTGGGACAGGATATGAGAAGTCTGATAGAATAGCCAGGAAATTATCCTTCTTTGGCTTCTTTTCTCTTCTTGCAGGAAAGCCATTTACCTTCAGTCAGCAGAACCTTCAACAAAAAAAACTATTTTAAGATAGTTCCAATTTGAAGTGTGGTCATAGGATTACCTGACAGGATGAGGTTTGAGTGTAGTTTGTTCAGGATGTTCGGCGCTATCCACCTTCAAGGCATCTTCCAGGAGTCTGGAAATTACTTCATGTGTAGGACCCTTTCCTCCAGAACAAACAGGATTCTTAACTTCCTGAAGGAGAACAAGATACTTGCTCTCTACTTGGCACAGTCTAGCTTCTAGGCCAGAGTACTATTGAAATAGAAAGAAAAGTTACCATCAGAATATAGCCATTCTCACTTTAACACCAGGACTTCTAACAACAATTTTCAGTTAGCAAAGACAAGCAATTAAACCTATATTATGCATGTCAGGAAGAGAGGGCAAAATTCATCAGGCCCACATTATTATCCACAAGAATGAGAGAATTTCTCAGTAAAATATACCCAGAGTCTGGACCAACAAAGACTGAAGACTCATCCTGAAAGATAAACCTACCTAAATCAAAAAGACAGCTGAGAAGATAAAACCTTGCATAAGATCTCTGCCATTAACAGTTCTACTAAAGGGTTTTTTTCCCCCCAAAACTTACCTCTAACATCCACCAAAATCTCTGTGGTACAGACCAGAGAGTATCCTAGTAGAAAGACTAAGTATGATTCCCTATCTTAAAACACCATTCCACCCAATATCCTGTTACGATAAGTTATGTCTACTCTGTGCTGGCCTTTGCAGTGACTGCACTCTGTTGAAACAGAAGGCCTCATGAGAAGGAAAAGAAATCCAAATCACATAAGACCAGAAAATGGTGCTCATTACCTGATCAAGGAGTGGAACTAAAGTGAAGATTCAGACAAGACAGAAAACAAAAATCATCTGGTTTAAAATTCTACCTAACTTGATTGTGATCATGCTCATGAAGACAGATAAACACAGTAAGACAGTAAGTTTACAACCTTACCCCTGACAATTATAAATGTTACTCGTAACGTAATCAATGATGATAGGTGCACGGTCATTGTAGTGCATCAACTGCGGAAACAGGAAGTTATAAAATACAAATCCCCAATATCATGAAGAATCTGGACACAACCATGACAGGTACACCCAACTCTGTGAAAGGGGAGGGAAACCTGTCCAGAGATATGATCATTCTTTGATTTGTTTAATGGGATGTGGGTGTTGCTGGCGAGGCCAACATTTGGTTGATGATTTATTGCCATCACACGTACCAAGCTACACAGTGAAACGCATTGTTTTGTATGCTATACAGGCAGATTGTACCATACAAAGTGCATTAGGGTAGCAGAACAGAGTGCAGAATACAGTGTTGCAGCAGCAGAGAAATGGGAGACAGAACAGGGAGAAGACAACGGGGAAGAGGGCAGGGAAGATCAGAATTAACATTTGAGAGGCCTATTCAAGAGTCTGTTAACAGTGGGGAGGAAGCTGTTCCTGAATCTATCCATACACTTAAACAAACTTTTATATCTTCTGCCCGACGGAAGATGATGGGAGAGTGTATAACTGGCGTGGGGGTGTCTTTGAATATGTTGGCTGCTTTCCCAAGGCAGCAGGAAGTATATATGGAGTCAACGGATGGAAGACTGCTTTACATGATTGACTGGGCTGTGTTTAGACTCTCCGTAGTTTCTTGCAGTCTTGGGAACAGCAGTTGCCAAACCATGCTGTGATGTATCCAGATAGAATGCTTTCTATAGTGCATCTATAAAAATTGGTAAGAGTCCTTGTGGACATGCCAAATTTCCTTAGCCTTACGAAGTAGAGATGTTGTTCTGCTTTCTTAACTATTGTGTCAACATGAGTGGACTAGGACAGATTGCTGATCATCACGCCCAGGAACTTGATGCTCTCGACCCCATCTCCACCTCAGCACCATTGATGCAGACAGGGACATGCCCTCCATTCTGCTTCCTGGAGTCAATGGCCAGCTCCTTAATTTTGCTGATATTGATGGAGGGATTGTCATCTTTACACCATGCCGCTAAGCACTCTCTTTCCTGTACACTGTCCCATTGTTGTTTGAGATCCAACCCACAATGCTGTTGTCAAACTTGTAAATGGAGTTGGGGAAGAATTTGGCCACACAGTTGAGTGTGTAAGGAGTATAGTAGAGGGTTGAGTATTCAACCTTGCAGAGCACCAGTCTTCAGAATTATCGGGGAGTGAGTGTTTCCGCTTCTTAGTGATTTTCTGACCCATAGATTGCAATTGAGGATTCAGTTACAGAGGGGTGAGCTGAGACCTAGGTCTCGGAGTTTAGAGGTGAGATTGTTTGGAATTATGGTAAAGGAGGAGTTGCAGTCAATAAGTAGGCGTCTGATATAGGCACCCTTGTTATCCAGATGTTCCAAGAATGAGTGTAGGGCCAAGGAGATGGCATCTGCTGTGGACCTATTGTTGCCACTTCAAGGGATCAAGGCAATTTGGTAGGCTGGAGATGATGCGAGCTATGACTAACCTTTCGAAGCACTTCATAACCATGGAGGTCAGATACACCAAGCTGTAATCATTGAGGCACACTGCATGATTTTTCTTTGGCACTGGTACGATGGTGGCCTTCTTGAAGTAGGTGGGGACTTCAGATTGTAGTAAGGAGAGGTTAAAGATGTCTGTGAATACGCCCACAAGGCTGGTCGCTTTCCCTGGGTTCACTCTCAAGAAGGCCGATCTAACATCTGCAGCAGCGACCATGGGTGCAGCTGCATCCAAGGCTGTGACACCGGGATAGGTGACATCGTTTCATTAACCTTCTCTTCAAAGCGACAGTAGAATGCATTGAGCTTACTGGGTAGGAATGTACTGTTGCCTGCGGTTCTGTTCGACTTTGCTTCAATGAGCATTTGTCAGTGATCTGATTGGTGAACAGCTTTCTTGAACCACTGTAGTCCATATGGTTTATATATACCCACAGTGCCATTAGGGAGGGAGTTCCAAGATTTTGGCCCAATGACAGTAAAGAACAGTAATCTAGTACCAAACCAGGATAGTGTGAGATTTCAAACGGTGGTGTTCTCAAATGTCTTTCCTGGCCTTATTCTAGGTGGCAGAGGGTTTGAAAGGGAATGTCAAAACAACTTCAGTGAGTTGGAGCATTAGCAGCACCTAGCACTGTGCTCCACAGGACTCATTGAGAAAGTCCCCGATGCTTCAAAACTGAAATATTTTAGTCAATGATCAGTACTTTATTTCTACAAACCAATTTCAGTCACTGAAAACAGCACACTCAGCCCCCTGTTATACTCATTGTACATACTCTCAAAACTCAAGGGCAGCACTGTGGCTCAGTGGTTAGCACTGCTGCCTCACAGCGCCAGGGACCCGGGTTCAATTCCACTCTCAGCCGACTGTGTGTGTGGAGTTTGCACATTCTCCCAGTGTCTGTGGGGGTTTCCGGGTGCTCTGGTTTCCTCCCAGAGATGTGCAAGCTAGGTGGATTGACGGTGCTAAATTTCCCATAGTGTCCAGGGATGTGTCGGCTAGGTGGATTAGCCATGGGATATGCAGGGTTACAGGGATAGGGTGGGGTGAATCTGGGTGGGATGCTGTTCAGCGAGCCGGTGTGGACTTCCTGGGCTGAATATATTAATTCCTAGTGTGGAAACAGACCAAAGAATAAAGAAAATTACAGCACAGGAACAGGCCCTTCAGCCTTCCATGCCTGAACTGACGTGCTGCCCGTCACAACTAAAATCCCCTACCCTTCTGGGGACCGTATCCCTTTATTCCCATCCTATTCATGTATTTGTCAGGACACCTCTTAAAAGTCACTATCGTATCTGGTTCTACTTCCTCCCCCGGCAGCAAGTTCCAGGCACCCACCATGCTCTGTAAGAAAAAAAAACTTGCCTTGTACATCACCTTTAAACCTTGCCCTGATGCCTGGGAAAAAGCTTCTGACTGTCCATGCCCTTCATAATCTTGTAGACCTCTATCAGGTCGCCCCTCAACCTCTGTCATTCCAGTGAGAACAACCCAAGTTTCTACAACGTCTCCTCAGAGCTAATGCCCTCCATACCAGGCAACATCCTGGTAAATCTTCTCTGTACCCTCTCCAAAGCCACCACATCCTTCTGGTAGTGTGGCAACCAGAATGGAACACAATATTCCAAATGCGGCCTAACTAAGGTTCTTTAAAGCTGTAACATTACCTGCCAATTTTTAAACTCAGTGCCCCGGCCTACGAAGGCAAGCATGCTGTATGCCTTGTTGACTACCTTGTCCGCCTGCATTGCCACTTTCAGTGACCTGTATAGCTGTGCACCCAGATCCCTATCAGTACTCTTAAGGGTTCTGCCATTTACTGTATATTTTCCATCTGGATTAGACCTTCCAAAATTCATTTTTCCTCTCTTTTTCCAGATTAAACTCCATCTGCCATCTCTCTGCCCAAGTCACCAACCGATCTATATCCTGCTCTATCCTTTGACGGTGTTTATCGCTATCTGCAATTCCACTAACCTTTGTGTCATCCACAAACTTACTAATCAAACCAGTTACATTTTCTTCCAA